AATGCATATTGGATCTCATTTTGTTTTATTTTTCTTATATAAATGCATATTGTAAGAATCAAAAAGAGACTTAACTATAGTTATATTAGAAAAAATTAATATTCCAGAAAGAAAGAACTGAAGTACTGCTTTTTCTCCTAAAAACTAAATTTGCTTTTTCTGTTGGTTGTTAGATTTAATTTTGTAAAAATATATACTAATACGGTAGGTAATTAAAGAGGTAGATAGTTACAATTTTCAGGACTTGACCAACCGGTTGAACGACTGTTAGCAAAGCGTATGTTAGGTGTAAATTTGTGTATATATATATAATGGTCCTTGTTGCACATATCATAAACCATTATCAAATTTATCGTATCTCTAAACCATTATCAAATTTATCATATCTTTTCACTTTCTCTCTAACAAAACAAATGGATCCTGCGCCTGAGCCCGAGCTCACACCGGAGCAAATCAAGGCCAACCTGGACCGCATGCGTGCGAACAGGGACAAGGCAGCGAAGAAGAAGGCAGCGAAGAAGAAGAAGAAGGATAAGGAATTCCATGCTGCTGAGAAAGAACGCAAGGAGAAGGCCCTGTATGAAAATACTCTGCGTATGCTTGGGAAGAAATAGAAGTAATAATTTATATAATTTGATGTTTGAACTTGTAAGAAGATGATGCATATTGGATCTCATTTTGTTTTGTTTTTCTTATATAAAATGCATATTGTAAGAATCAAAATAAGACTTTAACTATAGTGATTTGATATGCATATGTTATGTTAAAGTACTCCCTTCTTGTGTGTGCTAATATTATCATAAATTTTAAGTGCTTATCGTCGTAGAATACCAAATGATACTAAAATCAACATATATAGTTTCGGGTAAGAAAATATAATTCTTGATGGGCGTGAACGAAAAAAAGAAAAAAAAATCCAGACTCGGATATAGAATTAATTTTTAAGTACAGTTTCTCTAAATAGTAATACATACATCACTAAGCATTAAAGTAATTATATATGAGGACTAGATATGGAAAGATTCTATCAATCAATTAATTTTTTGAGCTGGCCTTCCAACCACAGTCTCGTCTCGTCTCGTCTCGCGTAGTATAATTAATTAACTCAGAAACCAGAAGAAAAAATCTCTAAAGGGTTTATTTATTTACATCTGATCATCAAATCATCCGAGAAAGCTAGTGGTGAAGAAGCTCTTCAATCGGAGAAGACAGATGTTCAAGCTTTGGTTCCCGTTCCTCGAGGTGATCATCGTCTTCGCTCTCTCTCTTTACTATACTGATATATCGCTCTACGAATCTTTTGAACTGTTCCACTTCTTATTATCTCAATGTTACTTTTGAATTAGGGTTAGCAACTGTTTTGCTGAGCTACTCTGAAAGTTAAAATTTCTTGTAAGACAAACCTTGTACGTACCGACCGTCGGTTACTAATTAAATCAAAATCTGATCGGTCTCAATTTAATTCCTAGGGTTGTAAATAGTGTAATCGCCACTAGTTCAAAAGTTTCACCATTGCTTCTTGTAAAGCTGACGATCTGTGATATTAGTTCATTACTTGAGTAATTTATTAATGATATCGTGATCCATGACTTACTTAATAAATATACCTTGAACTTGTACTAGGTAGTCAGTCGATTGGTTGACCAAAGATGAGAGGGTAAGTCTTGCAATTGCTTATTTGATTCTGCTGTTTTTAACTTGATACCGTAACTGTGTTTATGGATTAGCTTACAGTCTGTGAGAATTTTCTTATGTTGCAGGATAGTGAACCAGACATTGTTGATGGGGGCTGGTACTGAACCTGGCCACGTGATTAGAAACCACAGTCCGTGGACTAAATGGTCAATCCAGCCAGGTTGGATTGTTATGCATTATTAAGTAGTAACGTTTTTATCTAACTCTTTCTCTCATACATATAGTTGTTTGCCTGGAATGACAGACAGTCAGTTTCATATCAGAACACATGTAGTCGGTACTGGTTCCTTTGGCACTGTTTTCCAAATAAGTTAACTCAACATATATACCTGATGATGCCTTACTATTGATTTCGTTTCATTCCCCTCCACGCATTTATGTTTCTTTTCTTGTAGGCCAAGTGTAGGGAAACTGGGGAGATTGTTGTCATCAAGAAATTTCTACAGGACAAGCGTTACAAGAACACGCGTTATAATTATTATTGTTTTTTTTTCTGATCTAAAAACTATAAATATACTTTTTATTTTAAAGACAAACCATTATATGATTTCTAAATGTTCTTAAAATATTAGACTTATTTCAATTTACATTAACATAACAAATTGTCTTGGTTATAGGTCTAAAACTCTTGTATTTTTTCCAGTCCGTAAAGATGTAAATGCTAGTAAAGACAGAGAAATTCAGTAATAATGGTTCAGTTAAACTAACATCAGTAATAATATAAGTTCAAGAATATGAGTTTAAGCCAATAAAAAAAAAATAACAAAATAAGGTTTCCTAGACCATATCAAAAAAGAAAAAAAAAATATTAATATATATATATATATATATATATATATATTAATAGTTAAAATTTATCAATTTCAAGAAAATAATAATATCTATATATCAAGAAATCATATTTTAGAAAAATAAAATTTTATTCAAATAATTATTTATTTATCATAGATATTATTGTTTATGTAAGAAAGAAAGTGATTTCTTAAACTATATCAATTATACATGTAACAATGTATATCTTATAATCTAAAATGAAAAAAAAAATGAAATTGAGGATTATTTGCTGTTATGTATTAAGAAAATGGATATAAAATAATAATATTTTACCATATTATATTTTATCACAGATTTTGTAAACTCTCAAATTAGTTTATAGAATACTCTATATATCGTTTAGCACATATATATATATATAGTTTAGTTCACAATTTAAACTTATTTATACCTATTAATTTTTGCTACATGCAAAAGATAATTATCTTAATTTGAGCAAAAAAATATCATTATCTTAGTGCCAAATGTATCAATTATATTAATTGGTAACTAAATAAACTTGATGAGAGTAATATTTCTTTCTTTCTTTTTCATCGCCTTTTTATTCCTTTCTTATTTATGTAGGAATTAGTTGATTTTGTATTCACTGGGAAATGCAAATCGTTAGATATAACCCATTTATATATAGGCTTATATAAGCTAGGTAAAACCTATTATTTTGGTCATAACGATTTCATTGTGTTGCTTGCTACGTCGAATCCTTGTTCCTTGGGGTTTCTTCGTGAAAATGTCAGAAGCCAAAACTGAAGAGAAAGATTGTGAAGACAGGATCAGTACTTTGCCCCAAGAGTTGCTTGTGACGATTTTGTTGCGTCTCCCGATTAAAGATGCAGTAACCACCATGATTTTGTCCAAAAGATGGCGCTATATATGGATGATGTTGCCTAGACTTGATTACAATGAAACCAATGCTGTCAACCATGATAAGAATGTTTTTTTTGATGATGGTGATGATGATGATGATCTTGAGAGCAAGAAGAGCATTTGGTGGTTTTTTGACAAGTCACTGAAACTTCACAATGCACCAGTCTTAGAAGTATTGCTTATTAGTCTTGGTCCATGATGTCCTAGTGATGCTAATGTTGGAAATTGGGTTGCAAAGGCTGTTGAACGCGGCGTGGTCGTGGTAAATTTCAATCTTCGCTGGTCAGCAGGTCCAGCCAGATTGCCTAAGAGCCTTTACACCTGCGAAACACTCAAAGAACTGACTCTATCTAACAAAGTTCTTGTGGATTTTCCTTCTTCTTCCTGCCTCCCATCACTCAACAGACTTCAACTTTTCAGTGTGGTATATAAAGAGGAGGCTTCTCTCGCTAGGTTCTTATCTAGCTGCCCTGTCCTTGGAATATTGATCATGAAAAGAGAGAAGAGTGACAATTTGACAAACTTAATCGTGAAAGTGCCTTCTTTATGGATGCTATGGTATCGTAGTACAACATGGATAAAAGTTGAGAATGATGTAGCGGATAGCGATACTTGTTTGGTTATAGATACTCCGGCATTAATAAAGTTTGACGTCGCTGATTATTCAAGAAACTCGTGGTCCATCGGGAATATGCCTTGTCTTGAGGAGGCAAATATTAGAGCCAGCGATTTATCTATTTTTGACAAGATCATAACAGCTTCATCGGCGATCTTGTCTCTTGACTTGAGTTTCGAAAATGAAATGGTTTATCTTTATATATATATTGATTGTTTCTTGTGATTTACATTGTTGCATCTACTTATACGTTGTTGTTTGTTTTGTCACAGCTCGTGCGTTGCAGCACCCTAAGATTTTCTCGACTTATAAAGTTATCTCTAGATCCAAATAGATCAGACTGGTTGGAACCACTCTTACTTTTACTTAAAAATACTCCAAAACTTGAAGAACTTTTGGTAAATTATGTACGTACCCTTCTTTTCTTCAAGCTATGATAGAAGTTATAATACTAGTAACTTTTTTTTTATATATAATATATGGTTAACCATTGCTTCTCAGGAATTTATCTATGAACTCGAGGATATCCCACTTTCATGGAATCAACCAAGTTCTATTCCTGGATGCTTGTCGTCACGTCTAAAAATATTTGAATGGAGATTCTATGGACACAGAGAAGAAGAGGAAGAATTCTTGACATACATCCTAGCCAATTCTACGTGTTTAAAGACTGCAAAAATCTCCATCAAACCCATGTTAGATCCTGAAGAGCAAGATTTCATCATCAAAAAGTTGAAAAATATTCCTAGGGTTTCAACATCTTCTCAACTCTTGGTCTATTGAAAATTTAATTCGAGCTGTTATCATATGTTTAGCCATGTAATGAAGCTCAGTTAATGTGCAAGCTTATCAATAAAATGAACCTCTAAATATAATGAGAACAACTTGCTATTGCTATAAAATGTAACAAATTGTATGCTTTTTTAACAACTTGTAAGATCACTACAACAACTGAAAAAAAAAAATAGAAAGTAAACAAAGAAACAAGACCTTAAGATTCGGTCTCAAGAAAAGGATAATCAGTATAACCCACGACAGGATCAGAAGAAGTATAGAAACTTGTTCTGTCATACTTATTCAGCGCCGCGTCGAGTTGAAATCTTCTTGGCAAATCTGGATTAGCCAAGAACAGTCTCCCATACGCCACCAGATCAGTTCTTCCCTCAGCCACCGCCTTGTTCCCATCTTCTCTTGTATAACCTCCAGCGACGATGAACGTTCCTTCAAAAACCTTCCTCATCGGCGTAAGCGACTCAGTGCACTCGAAAACCTCACCAACTGTTTTCATCCTCGGCTCAACCATGTGGCAGTAGAGTGTCTTGAATCTATTCAGAGACTTTGCCATGTAGACGCCTAGCTTTTGAGGCTCTGTATCTCCCGACTCCATGTAGTTAGCGAAGGGAGAGAGTCTGACTCCAACGCGGTCAGATCCGATCTCGTTTGTCACTGCTTCGACTACTTCTAGTGCGAATCTACATCGGTTCTCGAGAGATCCACCGTAACAATCAGTTCGGTCGTTGACGGTGTCCTTCAGAAACTGGTCGATTAAGTAGCCATGTGCTCCATGGATCTCCACTCCATCAAAACCAGCTTCTATAGCGTTTCTTGCAGCGACACGAAAGTCATTTACAATGTTTTGGATCTCGTCGATTCTTAGACGTCTCGGAGGTGTATACTCGTTGGATGAAACCTCGGCGAGAGGCTTGTCCGTAGAAGAGATCGGAGCGTCACCATTTGGCTGAGAATCTAATACAAATATCAATTGCTTAGCACACACGTCACAAAATTTCACAATTTCAAACCCTAAAAGAAACCTAACGAAATTTTTATTTCTTGCATCACCATGAACAGACGTAACAAGATTGAACGCTTTCAAACCTAAAAAAAACTAACAGAGATTTTTTTTTTTTTTTTTTTTTTTGCTTCACCATTTGGCTGATAACAAGGTAAATATCAATTGCTTAGCACACACGTAACAAGATTTCGCAATTTCAAAACCTACAAGAGAATTGTTTTTTCTTGCATCACCACGAACACACGTAAAAATATTGAACGTATTCAAACCTAAAAAAACTAACAGAGTTTGTTTTTATTTTTTTGCTTCACCATTTGACTGAGAATCTACTAAAATTATCAGTTTCTTAATACACACGTAACAAAACCTAACAATCTCAAACCCTAACAGAGTATGTTTTTTTGTTTATTATATAAACCTCGATGAGAAACGCGACCGGCGTGCCAGATCTGACAAAAGAAGACGGCGCCGTTAGAGTGAACAGCGTCAACGATAGGCTTCCACGCTTCGATTTGTTCTTTCGTCCATATCCCTGGCATGTCATGATACCTGTCACACAAAAAAGTCAACCATAACTCATAAACAGAGCAAAAAAAGTCAACTCTATGGTAAAATAGTTTCAAGAAAGGACTTTACGCCATAGCGGTTTCGGAAACTCCGGTAGCTTCGCTGATGAGAAGACCTCCCGGTGTTGCTCTTTGAGAGTAATACAAGGCAGCGTGTGGTTGTGGAACGTTACCGTATGATGTCATCCTCGCCATCGGTGCCATAACTATTCTGAAATTTTTAGAATCATTTCATTCAGACAATACAAAGGGAAGCTAATGTGATTAACGCTGATTTAGTAAGAGATTAAGGAGAACCTGTGAGAGAGATTGAAGTTTCTCATTGAGAACGGTGTGAGAAGGGGAGTGGTATGATTGGTTGCAGAGTTCTCCATCTTTCAAGAACTCTAAAGAATCTGTGAGAAAAGTTGAAGTTTGATCTCACCGTGAATAACAAGACGTTTTAAAGAGACACTGAGACGTTGCGTGTTATAGTTAAATCACTCGAGTCTCTATCAGATTGTCAAGATCCCATCTCAACAAGATTAGGTAGGTGATAATGATGTGATGTGAGATGGGTTCTGTTCAATGTCTGTAAGAAAAATACAAGTGGCTAAATGTCTTCTCCACCTATTACTAAAAATAAATGCATAGTTGCTCTAATATAACAATATTCGAGTTGCTACATTTATTCTAATGCGTATATTCTCTTTCAAGTATTGCTTTGTTATGTCTCACACGATCTAGGAGAGGAAGCTGTAAAGGTCTTCCGTGAGATGCTTTTGTATGGTAGTATTAAGCATAACGTGACCTTCTTTGCATGGTAGTATGCTTTTGTATGGTAGTATTAAACAAGTTTTTCTCACCGATGTCGATTTGGATTTTGCTAATTGTTTTTGATAGTTGAATTGAGTTTTTAATTTTTTTTATTCTCTCTTTTGACTTGTTTCCAAGTGTCGATATATAGATATGTTTGTTCTTAGTAGTGGATTTATAAATTGAATATTGGTTTCTCTCTCTTAACTTACAAATCCCAAGAAAGATGATGAGGACTCTCTTTCTCGCTGAGAAAGAGAGGATGAGGCAGCGTTCACTTAAATGATAAGCCAATAGGAAAGCTCAAGTTCTTACTCCTGAAATGATAAGAGCTAACTTGGCAGCCATGGCCAAATCTGCTGCAGAGTCTGAGGCTAGAAGAAGATCATTGTCGGCTCAAAAGGCAGCAAACCTCAAGGCTGCAGAAAGGCTCAGAAGGTGCAACGCAGACACAAACATGGAATCCACCTCTGCAGAAACTGAGTGCAAAAGAAAGTCTGAGTTGGCTAACAAATCTGCCAAGGGCCTCTATGACAGGAGCATGTTCAAGTGATCTTGCTATAATTACCAATGCAATTAATTTTCCTCCACCCTAAACCAAAATGTATTAGAGATCTTCAGACTCTTGCGTGTGTTTTTTCTCTTTTCTTTGTTTTTGTAAAATCGTTTTAATTCCCAAGGACCCAAGCATATCTTAGGCCCACTAGGTCCAGTAACAAACTTTAGCAGAAGCAAACTTTCAATTTATGCTTTTATAATGCTTCAGACTAGATTTTGACCCGCCCTTAAAAAGGCAGATATTGTTTTCGTTTTACTTCTTTTATAGAAATTTAATTTTTCATATTTATATTTTTGTTTGTACAGATTTGTGTTTTGTTTATGTTAATATATCTGTCTTAAATGTTTTAAACTATTATTAATAAGAGATTTTGATAATTTGATTGAATTTATGATGTTGGATAACTATACATGTGCTATAGTCATTTCATACATTTGTTTTGTAATTTATTCATAAACTGTTATTAATGGCTTTTTTAAAATAACAAAGAATAGCTACAATTTTTTAATATTATCATAATAATTAAATAAATAAAATTATATATTTTTCATTAAGATTTCATTATTTGATTTCATATATATATATATATATATAATTATAATAATGTTGCTATCTTCGTAGTCCTTTAAAAATAAGACTTTAATGGTGATGAAATTATTAGTAGTTCTTAAAAATAGGATTTTAGTGGTTATGAAATTATTACTGCAGATGACGTCTTATTTAAAGTCACTTAAGCAGTTATATTTAGATGTCTTGTTATTTTAAGTTAGACTAAACTAATATTAATTTTACGTGTTTTTAATTTAACAATATTGATTTTACTGTGTATTAGATGGTCAAATTCATAGAGGATCCCTGCAAATAAAATGATGCACATAAATAAGAGTTAAATAACTGAAAAAGGAATTAACCAATAAAAACAAATAGTCTTTGATCCAATAAAAATGAGTATATAATTCTCTTTAAATCTAAAATTTATAAGCATTTGCAACCGCATGAAAGAATGTGGGTAAGAGAATGTGGGTTCCACCTAAGTCCAGTTATATTTCGATAAGACCCTTAAACAAGGGTAAAAATCTGCTTGAAAAAGTAGTGACATTTTAACTAATATGCCTGGTAATATAAGGGCAAAACATAGTAATGATGTTGTTTTAATAAATTAGATTAGATTTTGACCCGTCCTCGAGAGGACGAATATATTTTTTGTTTTTAAAAATTTCAGAAAATATAATTTATATGTTTGTATGTTTGTATAATTATATTTTTATATGATACGAATTTAATAGAATATATAATTTTTATAAGTATATTAAATAAATCAAGTTTTATAAGTATGTACTTGAGTCATATATGTTTGAGGAATTATTTTTAATCTTTATTCATAAAATTTGCAATATGTTATATTTTTGTAGTTTCATATAAGATAACAATTTTAATTTCCCACGTTTTTGTTGATTATATTTATAAAATTTAACTAATGTTATTGTTTAAATATATGAATGGTATGTTAATTATTCACGTTAAAGTCTATTTTTGGGTTAATATGAGTTGGATGGTGATAACTGCGAATAGTAATTTTAAATCATAACGGTCACCATACATAATTATTTTCAGATAAGTGGGTTCCATATTTTGTGAAAATAAAATCGATTACAGTTTTATAATCAAGAAACAAAAAATAAGATATAAATTAATAACTTATATTAATAGGTCATGTTTCTAATTTAACAAAATAGATTAGCTTGTACAACATATTTTTATATCACATAATAAGAAATTTTCTGAATTTTATTTGTTTAGTAAACATTTGTTTAGTAAACATTTGTTTAGTAAACACCATAAGAAATTCTTTCTCAAAAAAACATCATAAGAAATTTGTCTGTTTCTTATAATACATGTGGAAGATTCACTGAAGCATATAGTAACGTAAGAACTTTGAGTAATTATGTGTATTTTTCATAATTATTTAAGAAATTGTTGAGTTTGTATATATATTCTGGGTTTCATAAATTTAGTTGAGGATAGAGTAACTACGTCGGTTTTGTAAACGTGAAAAAGGGAATTACATTGTAAAAATTATGAGGAATTAGATTGGTTTCTCCCTCTTAACTTACAGATCCCAAGAAAGATGATGAGGACTCTCTTTCTCGCTGAGAAAGAGAGGATGAGGCAGCGTTCACTTAAACAGAGAAAGAGGTTGGAGGAAGCCAATAGGGAAGCTCAAGTTCTTACTCCTGAAATGATAAGAGCTAACTTGGCAGCCATGGCCAAATCTGCTGCAGTCTGAGGCTAGAAGAAGATCTTTGTCGGCTCAAAAGGCAGCAAATCTCAAGGCTGCAGAAAGGCTCAGAAGGTGCAACGCAGACACAAACATGGAATCCACCTCTGCAGAAACTGAGTGCAAAAGAAAGTCTGAGTTGGCTAACAAGTCTGCCAAGGGCCTCTATGGCAGGAGCAGGTTCAAGTGATCTTGCTATAATTACCAATGCAGTTAATTTCCCTCCATCCTAAACCAAAATGTATTAGAGATCTTCAGACTCTTGCGTGTGTGTTTTCTCTTTTCTTTGTTTTTGTAAAATCGTTTTAATTCTCAAGGACCCAAACATATCTTAGGCCCACTAGGCCCAGTAACAAACCTTAGCAGAAGTAAATTTTCAATTTATGCTCTTATAATGCTTCAGATTAGATTTTGACCCGCGCTTAAAAGGGCAGGTATATTTTTTTCGTTTTACTTTTTTTTATTGAAATTTAATTTTTCATATTTGTATTTTTGTTTGTACTAATTTTGTGTTTTGTTTATGTTAATATATCTGTCTTAAATGTTTTAAACTATTATTAATAAGAGATTTTGATAATTTGATTGAATTTATGATGTTGAATAACTATACATGTGCTATAGTCATTTCATACATTTGTTTTGTAATTTATTCATAAACTGTTATTAATGGCTTTTTTAAAATAACAAAGAATAGCTACAATTTTTTAATATTATCATAATAATTAAATAAATAAAATTATATATTTTTCATTAAGATTTCATTATTTGATTTCATTCAGACAAAGGGAAGCTAATGTGATTAACGCTGATTTAGTAAGAGATTAAGAAAACCTGTGAGAGAGATTGAAGTTTCTCATTGAGAACGGTGTGAGAAGGGGAATGGTATGATTGGTTGCAGAGTTCTCCATCATTCAAGAACTATCTAGAGAATCTGTGAGAAAGATTGAAGTTTGATCTCACCGTGAAAAAACAAGAAGAAGTTTAAAGAGACACGGAGACGTTGCGTGTTATATGGTTAAATCACTCGAGTCTCTATCAGATTGTCAAGATCGCATCATTACAAGATTCGGTATGTAATAATGATGCGATGTGAGATGGGTCCAATGTCTCTGTCAGGAAAAAAAAATACAATTGGGTAACTGTCTTCCCCACCTATCACTAATAACGTTACATCCCTGTAAATAAATGCATAGTTGCTCTAATATAATCTAAAAAATATATTCGAGTTGCTAGATTGTTATTTTTTAGTTGTTAGATTGTTCGGACCAAGGAGTCTGACATGTGTGCGAATCAATGGGTGAGTAAACCCGTAAGACGCAAGGAAGCTGATTGTTGGGATCCCTCAAGAGTGCACCCACGACCGACCTTGATCTTCTGAGAAGGGTTCGAGTGTGAGCATACATGTTGGGACCCGAAAGATGGTGAATTATGTAAAACTCGAGCTTTATGTATTTGGATTAAAGAATATTTAAATAGCGCTGCTTTGTCTCATTAACAACAACTCGGATGATGTGAAGTTCAATCATATCTGGTTATGCCACGCACGTTATATGAGAGGAAGCTGTAAAGGTTTTCCTCTTTTTTTTTTTTTTTGTCACGAAAATACTTCATTAATGGGTCAGGCCCAAAGAAAGAAAACCAAGTTAGCCCACAGAGGGGTTCGATACAGAAACACGAAGAGCCTTTTTGGCTAAGGAGTCCGATAAACCGTTTTCGGCTCTAGAGAGAAAAAAGAAAGATAGAGAGGCGAAACCAGATGAGATTGATCTGATATCACTGATGATTCCGATCAATTCCTTGCGCTGGATCGTGCCTACGATAGCTCCAATGAGCGTTTTACAGTCTGAGAAGACTTTAAGCTTGAGGAAGCCTCGCTTCTTCGCCGCATCAAGGGCTGCGAGAATTGCCAACCCTTCTCCGATCAGGGGGGAGGAGACATACTCATGAACCATAGATTCTTTGATGATTTCCTGAAGAGAGTGTCCGGAGAAGTTCCATGCCAGTCCTGCCGTCCTACGATTTGTGTCCCAAGCTGCATCTGTTTTGCATGTAATCACTTCAGCCCGTGAAGTATAGGATGCGTTGTTGGCGATCTGTAGCTGGGAAGTTCCTGATGGGGGGGGGGTGTTTTTGATTAGACCCCCTTGGGCTTGAGTCCATTCAAGACCTAGACGAAGAGCTGTTGTTGCCGTCTCTGATGGGGGTTGACTTTTGGAGTCGAAGATCAGAGCGTTTCTGGATGTCCAAAGAGTCCAAAGAACCCATGGTAGGATGGGTCCTGTAATTCCGGTTGGAGGTAGACAGGCCGATGTCTTGAACTTTTGCAGTGCCTCTGTAAAGGTCATGTCTGTTGTTATAGGAACTTCCCTGTGGAGAGGGGTCAGCTTCCACACCTCCCTCGCGAAGGGGCAGGTAAAGAAGATATGACCTTTTGTTTCCTTCTCATTACATCTTGCGCACAGGGAAGCTGATAAGATCCCTCTTTTTTCCAGGTTTTCTCCGATGGGAATTGCATTATTGAGGATAGACCAGAGGAAGAGTTTCAGTTTTGGTGAGCACTTGATATTCCACACATCTTTAACCCAACTAAAACTCTCACTTACTGCCTCTACGTGGTTTTGGTGTTTTTGGTTTTCCTTAACAGCAGAGAAGTAGCCAGATTTTGTGGAGTAGACTCCTGAAGGGAGAGGTTGCCAGATGAACACGTCTTCCACACCGCTTCTGCTCGGTCTGAGTTCCAAGATTTTCTCAGACAGATCAGGTAGAATTTGATTGATCCGTGTCTTGTTCCATTTAAGGTCTGAGGTTAGGAGGTCTGAAACCCTTAGGTCCCAAAATTCTTCTTTAATCGGTCCAAAGGGTTTGGAATTATTATCACGAGAAATCCATGAGTCCTTCCACAGATTAGTAGTTTGGCCGTTTCCAATTGCCTTTCCTATGTTGTATTTTAGAAGGTCCCTTCCAAATAAAACACTCCTCCACCCGTGTGAACAGGATTTCGGATGGTTTGGTTTGGGTTTAGCTGTAAAGGTTTTCCATGAGATGCTTTCTCTGCAACTCTCACAGATGTAGCTACGCTCGGATGGTTTGGTTTGGGAAGGTCTTAAGATCTTTGAACCTATGATGTAGCTTGGGGTTCTCTGTTGGGAGCGTGTAGAATTCACTTTGCTAAATTTGCTGACATTCTCGTTTGGCTCGACTCTCTCAATTACACCCAGATTCTTCTTTTTTTACTCTGTTTGTACACTCTCTCTGTTTTTCTTTACTTGTGTTGCAACTTATTCTCTATCTTCACTCTCAGTTTTTATCTTTCTTTGTAGAGAGAAGAGAGAGCACTTTGATTTCTACAAGTCTCCCATACTTTTCTCTTTGTGTGGCTCTAGAGAATTTTCAACACTATCATTGACCCCACCATGATAAACATTCATATAGCTCATCTTCAAGCTAGACTTAACCACTTCACAATAACCATACTGAACAGTCTAAAATGCACAGATTGTAAAGCTTTGTTACTTGCTGCATCTTTGTTTTCTCCTTCAGTCATCTGCCCATGGGACGCCATGTTTGGCCCAAAGATAGTATGCTCCAACAGGTCCACGTCCACCAAATTCATACAGCTCTGGTGCTGTGTGGTGCTTGTCTATCTCTTCCAGAACCGGACTCAGAATCTTCCATGCTGCTTCAACCTCATCGCTTCTCATGAACAGATGGTTGTCTCCATCTATTACATCATGAATTAAATGCTCATATGAATCTGGTACTTCCGTGCTATACCTACACTTTTGAACCAACAACAATGTAAATAAACCATAAGGCTCACTAATTCAAAATGTGAAGGTAACACAGATGAGGAAAGTAAAACTCGCCTGTCTTTATAGAGCAGGTTAAGCTCAGAAGCGTCTAGCTGAAGACCTAAACCAGGAACCTTATTGTTTATTTTCACCAGGATGGCTTCATCAGGCTCGTCACGTAGGATAAGCTCATTAGTCCCCAAATCTATGTTGATTCCAATGTTGTCTCGGTATATGTTTCCAGGAACATGCCGGAATTGCACACGGATCTCCACTCTTGTAACATTAAAGCACACCAAATCATTTGCTATATGTCAGCTGATACATAGTTGTATGATGTTACCATGAGTAGGAGTTATTAACTCTTACCTGTGTTTAATGAGGCCAGTGCCAACTCTTACTAGGAATGGTACACCATCCCAACGAGCATTATCTATATAAGGCTGCAGCACAGTAAGTAGGGCCTCCACTGTTCAGAATAGCTTCGTTTTTGTCTCGGGAAATGTACTTATACTGCCCAAGGATGGCATCAGCAGGGTCTAATCTGCGAATTGATCTCAAAACCTTCACCTGCAGAAGAAGAAGGTTTGTCACCAGGTCACTGACAGAAAAAATAATACACTACTTATCAATGTATCATAAGACTGTTTTGTTATTTGTTTGAGCAGTATGACCTTTTCATTGCGGATATCTTCACCATCAAGACTTACTGGAGGTTCCATGGTGAGTAATGCAATTGTCTGAAGTATGTGGCTATGAAATATGTCCCGTATTATGCCATATCCATCAGAATACCTTCAGAAAAGCAGTAGAAGTTAACATAATTGATGCCATTTCGTTGTCTCAGCATGTATAAACAACATTATTTACTTTCACATGCAACTACTATGCCTTACTTTTCTGTTTGTGCAACTGATTCCGATACAATAACCTGAAAATATCATTTGTAGATAGAGTGATTAACTCAGAATGTGGAAGAGAGAAGTTCCAGGCACTACACACAAATCACAAGGAAAAAAGCACTACCTGTACATTGCGTATATATGTTCTGTTCCATAATGGTTCAAAAACCAGATTTGAAAACCTTAACACAGTCAGATTTTCAATGAGATTTCTTCCTAACATATGATCTATCCTGCGATTGAGAAACACACAGAAACCGTAAAGAAAAATGAACTGTGCATGCATACAAGCAACTAGATTTAGAAGAAAGACCTGTAAATCTGCTTCTCTTCAAACTTAGAGAGAAGTGACTGTGTCAACTGATGAGAAGAATGTGAGTTAAAACCAAAAGGTTTCTCAACTATTATACGAGTCCAGCCTTGTGGTGCCTGAGCTTTATCTCCAATGTTGCACGCCACATCCACAAGAGCTTCTTGAGGCACTGAGAGGTAAAATATCCGATTCGCTTTTGATACTCCCTAAAGAATGAATCTGGTATTGTATTACTAAACTGTCTTTGCTTGTCTTTCCAAATGTTTGAAAACACACATAGACTAACCTCAATCTGTTTCATTCTCTCGTCAAGTCGAGACATGCCTTCCCTATTATCATAACCTCCGTTGATATAGTATGTTTTACTAAGAAATGCATCTATCTTGTCCCCACAGTTTTCCCTGAACATGTAACATCATTCTTTAGCTAGCAAGTCAATGAATAAAATATACAAAACTTATGTCAAGAACAAGAAATATATATACTGATGATCAACACGGCATGTGAGAGTTGATGCAATGATGGATCTGAGGTCTTCATCTGTAAGATTCTTTCTTGAATACCCAAATATACCAACATCCTGTGACAATAAAGACCAATCAACAAGACAACCTCCAAAAAGAAGTATAAAATTGACTTTGATGATCACAAGCACTATACCTCAGGAAGGTAGCCACTATAGTACAAGGCAAACAAAGCAGGAAAAATCTTCCCTCTTGCTAGCTCACCGGTAGCTCCAACAACAGCAATGCAAAGTGAGACTCCTCTTGGAACATCTGAAAGACCGTCCACGAACTGTTCTGTCACAGATGGTGTATCTCCAGCTTTGTGAGAACCAGCAACCAAATGGGTTCCTAAAATAGTCTCTTCTGGTCGTAAATCTGCAGCTCCAGTTTCTTCAGCAAAACCTACTTAACGTTTTTAACCTCAGGAAGTGCTAAAGAAGGATGAAATAAAGACAGGAGATGAAAACAACTCATTTTTCTATACACAGACCTCGTTCATCGCTGAGTAAAGTGTGCTCTGAGCGTGTTTTAAGCTCCTTAACAGTCTGATGCTTTCTGTGGCTGCCTTGTCTAAGATTCAAGCTCTTTAGTATCCAAAACTTCAACCCACAGAATCTCCTGCAAAGATTCGAGCCTCTTCCCTTGAGCACAAGGCTTTCACTTCTGAAAGAACTATGGTAGTCTCTTGACGAAACCTACTCACACAATTTTTAAATTCAACTTGAAGTAACTGAAGCTAAGATTCAGAGGCAAATAACACGATTTGAAAATTTCTAAGATCTCAGTATCTCTGGTGAGGTGTCAGACAACTTAGCTAACTAGTTACCTACTGATCTTCTCATAGATCGTAAACATGCAAACAGAGCTGAGCACATGTACTTACCGGAAAGTTAGAAGAAGAGGCGGCGAGATGGCAACAACAGGTGGAGGCGAAAGGAGCCGTTGATGATTGAGAGAACGGAAGCAAGCAAGTGGTGAGAGACATAGTAGCTCTGACTACTGACTATAGTTTGTTTCCAAGTTCTGCCTGTTGCTACTAATTGGTTTCACTATGATTATTTTTGGTTCGAGTAAACCAAACCGGTTGGTTATTTAGGAAAGGAAAATGATAATGGTTTAGGCGGGGGTGGGTAAGTTGACTTTAGAACTAAAACGTCAACGTCTCTTCTGGTTTCGAGTCGGCGTCTGCTTTTCTCTCTCTCTCTCTCTCTCTCTCTCTATCTCTGTCTTGTTGTTGCCTCTTGGTGAGATCACCTGTTACTCAAACTTTGATCGATCTTATCTTCTCAACAGTTGTCACCTTTGCTGCCAAAAACACTTGTGTGATTCAGACAACAACTGTCTTTAAAAACTTACTGTCTCTGTTTCAGATTCTGAGTTTCCCTTACTTTTTGTCATTTTCTTTAGTTTTTTTTTGAGATTGAAACTAGATGGCGAGGAAGAAGATCAGAGAGTATGACTCCAAGAGACTTCTCAAGGAACATTTGAAACGTCTCGCTAACATTGACCTCCAAATCCGCTCTGCTCAGGTCTGTCTCCCTCACCAAAATATTAAAGCTTTGTTTTCATCGAATGTGCTTTTGATGATTACTATGTTTAGAACCAACGAGAAACATTGAAGTTGAAACTGGTTTTGTTTCTCTCTATTACTTGCAGGTAACAGAAGCTACGGATTTCACTGAGTTGACCAACCAAGAGTCATGGCTATCTTCCACAAAGCTAGTTGTGAAGCCTGATATGTTGTTTGGAAAACGCGGGAAAAGTGGTTTGGTAGCTCTAAAGCTGGATCTTGCTGAAGTTGCAGAGTTTGTCAAAGCCCGTCTCGGTTCTGAGGTGAATGATCTGAAGCTGAATAATAGAACAATGGGGGTTGAATCTTATGCAACTTTTCTGTGTGTGTGTGTGAAGGTTGAGATGGGTGGATGTAAAGCTCCTATCACTACATTCATTGTGGAGCCATTTGTGCCTCATGATCAAGAATACTATCTTTCTATAGTGTCTGATAGGCTTGGCTGCACTATAAGTTTCTCTGAATGTGGTGGCATTGAAATTGAAGAGAACTGGGACAAGGTTACTACTACCTTTTTGATTTGTTTTCTCCCAGTAACTATAGCAGAATTTTCACATGGAGAACTTGTGTTTTTTGTGGTGTCAACAGGTGAAGACTGTGTTTCTTCCTGCGGAAAAGTCAATGACGCTTGAAGTTTGTGCTCCTTTGATAGCAACACTTCCTCTTGAGGTAAGTTTCTGTTTGCTGCGTTGTTAAAGAGTTATGTTAAGGCTTAGCTAACTAATGTTTCTATACATTTTCAGGTTCGAGGTAAAATAGGCAGTTTCATAATGGGAGTGTTTGCTGTATTTCAAGGTATGTTTAGGCCACTTCTTGATTTTCAAGCATTTGTGCAAATACCAACAGTTTCTGTTACATGAACTCTGATGGCTTTAGATTATTTATCTGTTTGTGTTCTCTTTGAAGATTTGGATTTCAGTTTCATGGAGATGAATCCTTTTACGCTAGTCGATGGAGAGCCATATCCTCTTGACATGAGGGGAGAGTTAGATGACACAGCTGCCTTCAAGAATTTCAACAAGTATGTCAAAACATTTCCCAGTCATTTTTTTTTTCAATGTGGGAACTTATTGGATTGATAAGATCTCTATCTATTCAGGTGGGGAGACATTGAGTTTCCTCTGCCATTTGGAAGAGTCCTGAGTCCAACGGAGAGCTTCATCCATGGTTTAGATGAGAAGGTATTTAAGACATTTCTTTTATGACTCATGAAAGAAAGTAATGTTAATAATTGTACATGTGTGTGTGTTACTTATTGCAGACAAGTGCTTCCTTGAAGTTCACTGTTTTGAATCCTAAAGGTCGCATTTGGACTATGGTAGCTGGTGGTGGTGCTAGCGTCATATATGCTGATACGGTGACATTTTTAAAAGAAAGAAAGTGTTTTTATGATGACTCCAAACTACTTCTCACAATGTGTGTATCTGTTTTTAACAAGGTTGGAGACTTAGGTTACGCATCAGAGCTTGGAAACTACGCAGAGTATAGTGGAGCACCTAATGAGGAAGAGGTGTTACAATACGCTAGAGTTGTCATTGATGTGAGTCTCGCCAAAATTTTTTTTTAGTTTTTTCCATAAGCTATACACAAATCTATAGAGTCATGGACAAAATGTTACTGGCTTTCTCAGTGTGCTACTGCTGATCCTGATGGGCGCAAAAGAGCTCTTCTCATTGGAGGTGGCATTGCCAACTTTACCGACGTTGCAGCTACTTTCAACGGTATCATCCGCGCTCTAAGAGAAAAGGTATACAACCTTTAAGAGTTTGCTAGTGCATTTTGGTGAAGATGAGATTGCCTAAGAGAATTGAATCGGTGTTTGGCTATTTGTATCTTATCTTTGTTGTGTGTGACATGAGCAGGAAACAAGACTGAAAGCATCAAGGATGCACATATACGTAAGAAGAGGTGGTCCTAATTACCAGACTGGTCTTACTAGAATGCGTGCTCTGGGAGATGAACTCGGTGTTCCTCTGGAGGTAAACCAAACACACTACTTATGTAGTATTAGCAGAGTACTGTCGGTTTAGGTAGAATATTTTTCTGATCTTCATAAGGATTGGTGAATGTAGGTATATGGACCAGAAGCAACGATGACAGGAATATGCAAACGAGCCATTGACTGCATCATGTTGCCTGATGCATAATCAAACCAAACCTATTATGATCTCTTCTTCAGTTGAAAGAAAAAGATGCAGAACACAAACGTGGAACTGGAGACGGGAGACGGGAGGAGTGTGTGTGTGTGTCTTGAACCCTGTTCTTCATCTCTCTTTCTGCATATGAAAATGAAAATCTCTTTGAAACTTTTACTTGTATGGGTGGTAATATTGAAAACCAAATCATTGTGGGTTGTGTTGCAAGTGTAACAGTAATCAAAATCGTCTTTTTAAGTGTACAAATAAGATTTTATACAAATAACTTTACACCAAATTTATACTCACCACGCAACATCATTCATATCGCACAAGAAGTTTATTTATTTTTGGTATATAATGTATTTTGAAGTATTACTCACAGTTGCGTCTATAAAACTTCAGAAAGTAAAACAAAAAAGAAACACACTTAAGAAATGCGCATACAAGTTTCTTCACACCGAATTCAAAACAATCATAGTCATGAGACAAGAAAATACGACACAATTACAGAGCTGAATACAAACAGTTGCAACTCAACAAATGAGTTGCTCTCAGAAGCTGTGAGCTGCGGAGTTGTATGTCTAATTGAGAGCGACCTGAGAATATCAAAGCAGACATCAAGTGAAAGTCGTAAGATGAACACTGACAATTATGTTATATGCTTTTTGTTTTTACCTGACACGGGTGGATTCACCTAGTCTTCAGTAGCTTCATCTTCCGAGTCTTCAGTAATTTCATCTTTCGAGTCTTCAGTAGCTTCATCTTCCGAGTCTTCAGTAGCTTCATCTTCCAACTTTTCACACAATTCTTCGTCTGCAACTATGTCTACACGTTGGATAAAGTCGAGTACCTTCGTGCTGATTGGAAGCTTTTTCAGCTTTGGACAGTTTCGTATCGTCATGGCCATTAGACTTGGCAATTCCAACAGTTTTGAGTAGATACTCTTCAGTCCCTCCAAGTTGACTAACCTAATCGCATGTAGTTTTCGAAAGGGTACAATACTCGATCCCTTGTGTAGTACACCAGAAACCTTTTCACTGCTTACAATTTCTTGCAACTCCGGTGATGGCCCATCTACGGATACTATCGTAAGATTTGGAGCGAAGATTAACCACGACAAATCCTGTATACCACTGACGCCAGAAAAAATGACAAGGCTGAGGTTTTGGAAGGATATGGCACTTGTACTTCTGCATCCATATCTCGTATTCTCCACTATATCAAAGATGGAACTTTCTCGTATCATGATATAGCGAAGGCTAGCCCTAGCCGCTTCAAACTGCAAAGGACCGTCTTTTGCTACAATTCCCTTTAGAGTTATATATTGGATACAGCTAGCCAATTTGGGGATACTTAAAAGACGTTCTAAAACAACCATATTATTGATAGTTACCCCCAAGCCTTTCAAATTCCTCATTAACTTGATTTCCTCTATCAACTCCAGACTTAAAAAAATACTACCTTCATGTAAGAATAGCATTTCTATATTTACCAAACTTGATATCACACTGATGCTTTGAAGAGTTCGTACATCTGTCAAATCAAAATATCTCAACTGAATCAACTTTCCCAATCCTACAGGCAAGTTCTCTAGACTTGTTTGTGCTAAGTCAAGATGTCGCAAGCTCACTAAGCTTGAAACTTCTTCCGGCAACTTGGTTAGGCTTTTGTTGTGCGATAGATCCAAAATCACTAACTTCGGCATCGATAGAAAAAAATCACCTGAGATGTTCACCAGATTGTTGTATGTTAACAGCAATGTGGTAAGGTTAGGACACTCCGGGGAGATGGAGATGTTTTGAATCTCAGTTTTTGCCAGTGACATCCTTGTCACCGCGTTCCAGTCCCTATCCTCAGGCATCTGTTGCAGTCCTGCACCTGTCTTGACGATAACTTTCTCTTTCTCTTTCCCAAAATTAGACGCAGCCCAAAGAGCCATTTGGTGAATCACATCATGCATTGTTACATACTCAAAAGTGAAAAAAGGCATCAACAGACATGCACTAACGAGGATGCCGATTATCCTATAACCATGGTCGATAGCTCTTTCTCTATCATCTACATTTATGATCCCTTCGGATATCCAGTACTGGACCAACGCCTCTTTAGAAATTAGCTCATCATCCGGCAATAAAGCACAAAACTGGAAACATTGCTGTTCTGTCTCGTTCTCAAGATCATCATAGCTAAGCTTGAGAACTTTAAGAATCTCGTCTTTAACTTCGGGATAGCCAGCCGCATTTGATTCCAGATCAGCGATCGCACACTTCCAATCGTGTATTGACGTTTTGCGTGCCATTGTTTCCCCAATAACGTTGAGTGCTAGGGGTAAGCCTTGACATTTTTCACATATTTGTATTGCTAGCTCGTTGATCTTTGGTTCACTTGCTAGTGTGCTATCTCCAACTTTCTGTCGGAATAGTTCCCAAGCATTCCCTGGGTCTAGTTGCTTGACTTCCAAGTCATGAGATCCCATACGCCCACAAACTGTTTGCAAGCGAGTGGTAAAGACAACCTTGCTTCCATTTTTTGGTGAGGGTAATGGAATTCCAATATCTTCTTCTATCTTCAATTTCCTCCATATGTCATCTAATAAAATAACGAATCTTTTCCTTGTAAGAGCATCATATATACCAGACGCTTTCTCGTTTTGAGTTTTCTTCTCCCACACCTGCCCACAGAGGCCTAGTCTTTCCCCAATCTCATTTTGGATCTTTTCAACTTGTATATTTTTAGACACCTCTGCATATATCACGACCTCAAACTCGTCCCTTTTTTCAAGTAACTTATTATTGAGTTGTTTGAGAAGTGTGGTTTTCCCTATACCACCCATACCGTAGAGACCCAAGATTCCAACTTCCTTCTCCATGAGACGTCTCCATGTAACTTCCAGCATCTTCTCTAAACCGACTGTGCGTTGAGTGATCATCTTCACTATACCAGGTGGAGGACCCATCCTAGCCACCTCGCCAGAAGGTTTTGAGGACATAATACTTTTTACTCTCTCCAACGTTTCGAATACATCTTTACCATAACAATAGGTTAAAAACAAGTTGCTGGAGCAGTACCCGCACATAGACAATCTGTCGACTTCTGCAGTACTATCTTCAAGCAGTTTAGTGACCTTTGGCTGGATGGCTTCGACTTTTGAAAGCCAATCGTTGAATTCTTTGAGCACTCTCAAACCTTTTCGTTCTTCCATCTCGATTTGGTTCTGCAAGTCATCCTTCACTGCTGTGAGGCTTAACGAAACCTCTTGCAAAGCCTCAAGATGATCTTCCAGTTTGAGTATATACTTGGTCTGTTCAAGAAACAAATTTCTTGCAGGTTGAAAGCAGAACGAAAGTACGCTTGAAACTACGTTCCACATCGTGTTTTAATAGAAAAAAAAAGCGGAAGAGAAGATCAAAATGGAAAGAAGAAGAAGAATACCAAGCACTCTTTGAAACTCAAGAACTATAGAGATAAGGAGGTAGAATAACTTCAATATTGAGAGGTGGAGGTTAACCTTATCTCAATAAGAACGTACAGAAACTAAAGTAGCAAGCAGGCTCTGGTCTTGTTCGTATAATATAAACTTGTCCTTATCAATCAATTTAAAGACAGCTAACGAATTCATGACTTTGGAGACGAATGGTAAGTGCTTTGAACAGATTTTAATTTTTTTACCGCCAATTTTATTACTAACGATGCTTTATTAAAAAAAATCTTAAACTACAACCAAAAATCTTAGAAAGGAAATAGATTTCTTTATAAATCAATCTTTCTACAGTTTTATATTTATTGTTTTCAAAACTTTGAAAATATTTATACACCAATAAAATGTAAAACTAAAGCCACAAATCTACACTTTAAATTATAAAGCAAAAAAAAATTAAAATTGACCTTAGTATTATCAAAGCAATAATAAGTATACTTATGGAGTATTAGCAAAAGTGTTAATAAGACTTTAAATCTAGAAGACATGGTAGTTGGTCAAACACAATCTGCCAGAGAGAATTTCTCAGAAGAAACTTGAAAATAACACTTGTTCAGCTTTCGGTTTAGGTACAATACTGATCTTCATAAGGATCTGTGATAGTAGCTATATGGACCAGAAGCAACGATGACAGGAATATGCAAACGAGCCATTGACTGCATCATGTTGCCTGATGCATGATCAGCCAAACCTATGAACACGAACTCGGAGCTGGACACTGAGAAGTGTGTGTTGAAAACCTCTTTGAAACTTTTGCTTGTGAGGGTGTAATATTGAAAACCAAATCATTTTGTATTGTGTTGCAAGTGTAACTGTAATCAAAACGGTCAAAATCCTCTTTTTAAGTGTACAAATAACTTTATACCAAATTTATACTCACCACGCAAAATCATACAACATCACACAACACAACAAGTTTATTTATTTTTGGTACAAAGTATTTTGAGGTATCACTCACACTTCAGAAAGTAAAGTAACAATAAATAGAAACAACCAAGGCGCACCCAAGTTTCTTCACACCAGATTCAGAACAACCATAACATGAAACAAGAACATACAATACAATTACAGGAGCTGAAGCCAAACAGTCTGTCGCAACTCAATGAAATGGGTTACCTCAGAAGCTGTGGAGTTGCATGTCTATTTGAGAGCTACCTGAAAATATCAAAGCAGAAGTGAAGTGAAGGTTGATGTAAGAAAAACACTGACAATCATATGTTATATGCCTTTTTTTGGTTTTTTTACCTGATTACGGATGGATCCACCTTAGTCTTCAGTAGCTTCATCTTCCCACTCAAGTCCTCTCAACCATTCTCTGTCTGCCTGTATATCAATGCCCTTCAACCTCTCCTTGTTAAATGGAAGCTTTTTCAGCTTTGGACACTTAAATATTATCATGCTCTTCAGACTTGGCAATTCCAACCGTTCCCAGTAGAAACTCTTGAGTTCCTCCAAAACGCGTAAGTTAAGCTCACGTAGTTTTCGAAAGGGTACAAAACTCGGCCTCTCGTAAACCTTTTCTCTGCTTATAATTTCTTTCAATCCCCATTCTTCCCCCAGTAAGTCTATACTTATAAGATTCGGGGCAAACAACAACCACGACAAATCCTGTACACCACGGCCGCCCCAAATAATTACAGAGCTGAGGTTATCGAACCATGTGGAACTTATAAATCCGCGTCCATATATTGTATCAGAGATGATACATCTTTCTATCTCAATGGAGCGGAGGCTAGCCATAGCCGTTCCAAACTGCACTGGACGGTCTTTTTCAGCAATTCCCGCCACCCTTATATGTTGGATACATCTAACCAAACTGGGGGTACTTAAAAGACGTTCCAAAACATCCGCATCGTCAATACTTACCCCCAACACTTTCAAATTTTCCATTAACTTGATAGCCTCTAGCAACTCCAGACTTACATAACCAGTACCATGTAACAATAGCATTTCTAAATTTACCAAACTTGATATCACACTTATGCTTCTAAGACATCGTACCGCTCTCAAAGAAAGGTATCTCAGCTGGATCAACTTTCCTAATCCTACAGGCAAGTTCCATAGACTTGTTCCTGATAAGTCAAGATATCGCAAGCTCACTAAGTTGGAAACTTCTTCTGGCAACATTTTTAGATTCCTGTTGAAAGATAGATCCAAAATCACTAACTTAGGCATTGATAGAAAAAATTCACCTGGGATTCCCCCCAGCCAGTTGTCTGTTAACAACAATGTGGTAAGGTTAGGACACTTGGGGGGAATCGAGACGTTCCAAATGTCATTTTTTGCCAGTGACATCCTTGTCACCGCATTCCAGTTCTTAACCTTAGGCATCTCTTGCAGTCCAGTACCCGCCATGACGATACAATTCTCTGTCTCTTCCCCACATTTAGACGCAACCCAAAGAGCCATTTTACGAACCACATCATGCATTTTTACTTTCTCTAAAGTGTCAACAGGAATCAAGAGACATGCACGAACGAGTTCACCAATTATCTTATAACCCTCGTCGATAGCTTCTTCTCTGTCTCCACCTTCATCTATGAACCCTTCGTATATCCAGAAGTCAACCAACCTGTCGTTATCAATTTCTTCATCTTCTGGAAATAAAGCACAATACTGGAAACATTGCTTTATTGTGTCGTCCTTAAGATCATCATAGCTAAACTTGAGAATTTTAAGTACCTTGTCTTCAACCTTTGGATATTGACCCGCATTTGTAACCAGATCTGTAATAGCACTCTTCCACTCGCGTACTGACGTTTTGTATGACATTGTTTCCCCAATAACGTTGAGTGCTAAGGGTAATCCTTCACATTTCTCACAAACTTGCCTCGCTAGCTGGTAGATCTCTGGATTATTTAGTGTGTTACCTTTAATCTTTGGTCGGAATAGTTTCCAAGCATTCTCCGGGTCTAGTTTCTTGACTTCCAAGTCATGATCAGATTCCATTCCCCCACAAACGTCTTTCGAGCGAGTGGTAAAGACAACCTTGCTTCCATTTTCTCGTGAGGGAAATGGAATCCCAATCTTCTTTAAATCCACTTTCTCCCATATGTCATCTAATAACATAACGAATCTTCTCTTTGCAAGAACATGATATATCCGAGAAGTTTTCTCTTCTTGAGTATTTGTCTTCCACGCCTCGTCACAGATGCCTAGTCTCATACCGATTTCATTTTGGATATTTTCAACTTGTAGATTTTGAGTCACCACTACAAATATCACAACCGCAAACTCATCTTTTTTTTCAAGTAACTTCTGGTTGATTTTTTCCAGAAGTGTGGTTTTCCCTATTCCTCCCATCCCGTAAAGACCCAAGATTCCAACGTCTGTCTCCATGAGACGGCTCCATGTAGTCTGAAGCATCTTCTCTAAACCGATTGTGCTTTGAGTGTCTATCTCCTCTATACCAGGTGGAAGACCCTTCCTAGCCACCTCACCAGAAGGTTTTGAGGACAAGAGCCTTTGTACTTGCTCCAACGTTTCTAATACATCTTTACCATAACAATAGGTTAAAAAGAAGTTGGTGGAGCAGATCCCGCACATAGACAATCTTTCCAATTCTGCAGTCTTATCTTCAAGCAGTTTACTGACCTTTGGTTGGATGGCTTCGACTTTTGAAATCCAATCCTTACATATTTCATCCCTTGGCAAACCGTTTCGATCATTCATCTCGAGTTTCTCCAGTAAGGCAACCTTCTTATCTTCGAGGTCTGGCTTAACTTCTTCCAAATCCTTAAGATGATCGTCCAGTTTGAATATATACTTGTTGGCCTTTTCAAAAACCAAATTTTTGGCAGCTTCAAAGCCGTTTGAAACTACGGTAGAAACTACGCTTCCCATCGTGTTCCAGTAGAAAAAAAAAAAGACAGAAAGAGGAGAATGGAAAAGAAGAACACCAACCACTCCACTCGTTGAAACTCAAGAATGTGCAGAAACTAATATTAAAGTAGCAAGCAGGCTTGGTCTTATTCATATAATATATTTGTCCTTGGCAATCAATTAAGGACGCCAACAAATTAAGGATGACTTTTTCTAGGTCTTATTCATATAATATATCTGTCCTTGTCAATCAATTAAAGACGCCAACAAATTAGTGGCTTTTGTTTATCGTTTCTGTTATTGTTTAATGTAAATTCAGGCTAGAGACTTACGTTGAAAATTAAAAAAATTTCTGTCATCTGATAATTAAAGTTATCCTTAGTATAGTTAATATTGCAAGTGGCATATTGCAAAGTTTAATAATCAGATTATTCACTAGGAAATACAGACCCTTGCTAGTGTGGGTTCCTTGAAATTTGTACCTTCTGCCTTTTTAGGATTCTTTAGATCTAAAGCATGAGTTGCAAGATATAATTTAGAGACGCGCAAGTATATTCTAGATGCAATGTATAATTTACATGAACCTTAAACATATCATTACATAATATAATCATATCTGATTAAAGTTTACTTTCTAACTCAATGCTAACTCAATTGGACTATTTCCTCAATATATGTATTAATACATCTCAAATAACTACATTTTATTGCATCACATGAAACATCATTTGCATGCACGTATACGAGGAAAATAAACATATATAGCAGAATGTTTGGATGATGATTTAAGTTTAAAACATTAAAAGATTGATCAATATGAAATTACTAGTCTTTGTAATATATTTTTGTTGTGAAAAATAATGAAAAAAGAGGTTACTTAGTCTTTGTTCATCGACGTCTTCATGAACGAAAAAGGCCAACCAACCAATTGAAAAGCATTCATTTGCAACTTTCCATTTTAATCATATTTTTATTTGTTCAATTGCACAATCTCCCCACAATTGTAATAAATGAAAGAATATAATTTGGTTTGGTTAGAAATTGGGTTTAAAAATATGAATAGAAGTTCAATTTGGTTACAATTGCAATAAATGAAAGGATATCATTTGATTTGGTTAGAAATCTAGTTTAAGGATATGAATACAAGTTCAATTAAGTTATACAAAAAGCTAATTGGTACATTCTATACCAAACTAGATAACCAACATAAACGTGGATCGGAAACTTCATTTGCCTGCATGTATACGAGGAAATGAAACATATACAGCAGAAAGTTTGGATGATGAGTTTAAAACATTAAAAAATTAATCAATATGAAATTATTAGTTTTTATAATATATTTTTGTTGTAAGAAAATAACGAAAAACATGAACGAGAGAAAGTCCAACCAACCAATTGAAAAGTCTTCATTTGCAACTTTCCATTTTAATCATATTTTGTATTCGTTCAATTGCACAATCTTCTCACAATTGCAATAAATGAAGAAATATCATTTGGTTTGGTTAGAAACCCAGTTTAAAAAATACGAATAGGAGTTCAATTTGTTTACAATTGCAATAAATGAATGAATATCATTTGGTTTGGTTGGAAACCTAGTTTAAAAATATGAATAGAAGTTCAATTTGGTTATACGAGAAAACTAATTGGTACTATCTATACCAGACTAGATAAACTAATCTTGAGCTTCTTTATAAGTTTTAAATTTGATTCAAATGCCCAACTAAGAGTTCAAATAATTAGAACCCTATTTTAAAAATATTAACAGAAGTTCAATTGGTTATACGGCTAATCGAAACAAGACGGTATGGTCTATACCAGACTAGATAAACAAACATTGGACTTTTTATAAGATTTTAAATTTGATTGAGAGGTCCAACTAAGAATCTAAAGAAACCTGGTTTTAAAATATGAACATAAATTCAATTTGGTTATACAAAAACAAATTGAAACCGGACAGTATGATCTATACCAAATATGATAAACAAATATTGAGCTTCTTTATAAGACTTTAAATTTGATTTAGAGGTCCAATTAAGAATCCAAAATTAACATATTATTAGGGATATATATCCCAATTGGGAATTCAATGGGACCTTAAGTAATATATAAAAGGTTAGGGCCAATCCACTAATCACCAATTGGTTTTAAGTTGGAAACCCATAATAAACCTGAATTTAACATGGTATCAGAGTCCAGATCCTAAAAAAAGCTCTAAACCCCTAATTAATTAATTACCCTTCCGACCAGGTATATAGGTCGTGTTTAACCTTCCGGTTAGGTATAATTGTCGTATTTGACTCGCTCGACCGAGTATAAGTGTCTTAAAGTTCCGAGATTTCTGGCCGATAAGAGCCATCATTAAATTCAGATTTATTATGGGCTTCCAACTTAAAACCAATTGGTGATTAATGGATTGGCTCTAACCTTTTATATATTACTTAAGGTCCCATTCAATTCCCGATGTGGGATATATATCCCTAATACATATCTTGTTATCATATCTATGTTCTTCCATCCTTGCTAGAGTAACACTAAATATTCTTGATATCTCAGTACGTAGTTTTTGAATCGCATCTTTATTCTTGCATTGTATCCTTGCTGTTTATTTGTGTTATAGAAAAAACTGGTAAGTAATGGGGTGATATTAGAAGAATTGGTAATATCTCTCTTGCAAGTTTGTTGTTACCTAGTATAATCAAGTTTGATGTTACGTAATTTAGAATATAGCTATCAGTTCTTTTGTATGAGAGTTCTTTTGTATGAGATGTTAATGTTTCTGTGTTCATATCTTTGTTCATCATCACTTCAGTGCAATGTTATCTTCTTTCTTTGCAAGATATGTTTTATCTATGAAATATGGTATAATAACATGAGGTTGAATTCTTTTTTCTTGTTGTTGCAGGCTGCAAACAAGTAGACAAACCTGGAACAAAGTGAATTCATGCCAAGAATTTTAATTTGAGATATCAAAGTGAACAAAAAGAGATATCAAAATGTGTTTCATAACCTTGCATATACAATATTTTGAGATTATTTCAAATCAAACTCAAATTTGAATTTTTATTGTTGGATTTTAAAAGAATTCAATAATTTTTATTTGACAAAAAAAATTGAGGTTATATAAATTAATTATGAATTAATTTGAGCTAATTTTTAAAATAGCTTGGGCTTGGGCTATGTCCAACTGAACATGGGTGAAGTTGGGTTTGGGTGTTATTGGATTTGGATCTAACCCATTTGACAGTCCTTGTCCAAAATAATTAAACCTACAAAAAATCTCCCGCCTTCCCGGTCCAGAAACTTTAATTCAAAACTCAAAAATCTCTCCAGTGGCTTTGTCTAAAGTAGAATCGGAGATGGAACAGAGAGGTGAACAGATCGAATTCGGATGTTTTTGATTCGTTTTGGGTTTCTAAGTGAGAGTTATGTATAACGTGTAAATGTTGGTGTTTGGTGGCAGTTGATCTTTGGTCTGAGATTATTAGATCCGAGGAAGAACACGGAGATGGTTTCCGAGAAGTACCTCAGGTCGAAGTTTATCAGAGAAGGAAGAAGATTGAGAAGCCTTCCTCAGCCGAAAACTTGTAATTTTGCAAAAACAAAAATCCTTCCTTTTGTTGTTTTTTTTGGCTCTGTAATCTGACAATGTTTTTAATTTCGATGTGTGTCTGAAAAACAGAGTCTGGTCGGTGAAAGGGGCTCGAACTAGTTTTATCAATGGACCCAAGAGAGATAGCTGGACTCGTTCCCTTTCCACCAGGTTATATTCAGAGTCTAACCCTAATTTTCTTTTTTCCCCCTTCTGATTCTTACAGTTGCTACTAAAAATCTAATCTTTTTTATTGTTTTTATGTTGTCTGCCATTTTTTGAGCTTTGTAATTGGTGCACACCTTGTGTTCGTTGAAATGTCAAGGAAGTGCCGCCAATTTTTTTTTTTTTTTTTTAAGTAGACTGATGAAAGGACTGATAACTGTGGCAGAGGAAGAGAGAGTATAGCAGTGGGAGCTTATGTCAACAATCAGCCTCAGAAGAAGCCAGCTAGGAGAAAGCAACCTCCTATTCCAAAGGTAGTCTTAGTTGTTTCATTGAGTTATGTGATTTTTAGATAAAGCTTAGTGTATTCTCTTTGTCTAGATGGTCAGAATGTGATTTTTATAAACGCATTGTGTTCTAATCTCTCAGGGAAAAGGTGTGAAAGCTCCAGACTTGCAGAAAGAGAAGGAGTATTTTCATGAGGTTGATGCTTTTGAGCTTGTGGAAGAGAGTCCATCTCCCAAGACCAAGAATGCTAGTACATGGATCAATGGTGAACAAGTTGTTCCTGAGGTGCCACATTTGGCCACAAGATTAGAGAAATGGCTGATCTCGAAGAAGTTGAATCGTCCTTGTGATCCTTCAAGCACACTCTCTAAGATACTTGAAACCTCACATTCTACCACACGCTTAGAGCCAATACTTGATGATGATGCCTTTGATGCGTTGGCTCTAGGAACCCCAGAAAATTCTTCTGCTAGCAACAGTTCAATTTTCCGGCTCATCCAGAGCAGTGGTGACAGTTTAGATCCTGAAGATGTGCCTATTATTAGAAAGATCAAGACGGAAGAAATTGACCTTGACGATGTTCCTGTTAGAAAGATTAAGACGGAAGAAATTGACCTTGAAGATGAGCTGAAGCGACTTTCTTTGACGTCTGATCTGGTGTCTCCTCATCCAGATTATGAGAAGCCATTTGTTGATCTATTGTCCGCCTGTGGACAAATGCAACCATCAAACTTCATGGAAGTATTCTCCAAATTCTGGTATGAACCTCCATAGAGATGATCTTTTATGTTCTAGCACTTGGTGTTTTTCTAGTGCTATACTGTCCTCTTTTACTAGTGTTCTGCCTTTTGGTTGGCTCTTTAATAAACCCTGGTTGAGAAATGCGATATACTGTTCTTATCTCATTGTAATTATTAATTTGAGCTAATTATAATTATGACTAATGACTCAACCTTGCAGTGAACCAGAAAGCATTGTCAAGATTGGTGAAGGTACATATGGGGAGGCTTTTAGGGCTGGTCCTACTGTCTGCAAAATAGTTCCAATAGATGGAGACTTCACTGTTAATGGAGAAATACAAAAGGTATTTTTCCTACCTCACTTCTAGTAAGTGAAACGATCAATTTTAGCATGAGAGGAAATATTAGAGAGGCCAGTGGCTGCAAGTTAAGTTAATTCTATGTAGAGAAGAACACATTGTTTATAATTTTTAGATATGTTAATCATCTCTAGAGCAATGCATTGATGGTGAATGAAAGGCCTTCACTTCTCACATCAGCTGTTATGAGAACGAGTTATGGTTACTTTTATATCGAAGTGAATACTATATATGTAATACATGACATCTTATTGTATGTTACCTTTGTTGCAGAGAGCTGACGAACTGCTTGAGGAAGTGATACTCTCTTGGACTCTTAATCAGCTTAGAGAACGTGAGACTGAAGCTCAGAATCTTTGCCCGACGTTCATAAAAACTCAAGAGTACGTCTTCTTAGGAACTAAAATAAGATGGAGATGTGACATTTCAATTATAAATCTTCTACAGAACTTTTGTGCATCATTTCACAAACTTGTACTCATGATTTTGTTGCAGTATAAAAGTATGTCAAGGTCCGTATGACCCTATACTGATAAAAGCATGGGAAGATTGGGATGCAAAAAATGGATCTGAGAATGATCACCCAGATTTTCCGGAGAAACAAGTCAGATTCTTTTCACTTCATTTTAAGAAGGTCTACTTATGTGTAATGCTGTATAGTCTGTAGAAGTGACATTTATTTGGCCGTGTGGTTTTTGTTTCCAGTGTTATGTCATGTTTGTTCTGGAACATGGTGGCAAAGACCTTGAAGGCTTCGTTCTTTTGAACTTTGATGAAGCACGAAGCTTATTGGTTCAGGTGAGCTATAGACTCTTTCTTGTAACAGAAAATGAGTAAATGATTTTTGGTTCTGATTAATAGCATGTGTGTCACATGTAAGGTCACCGCTGGCCTGGCTGTTGCTGAAGCTGCTTTTGAGTTCGAGCACAGAGATCTGCACTGGTATGCTTAGTATTTAATCTGGTATAGTTTCCTGATTAGTAGTCTTCTCTCGCCTGATCTTTGTTTTTCTCTTTTCTCAGGGGAAACATTCTTCTAAGTCGTAATAACTCGAGTACTCTGCCTTTTACTGTCGAGGGGAAACAAGTTTTCATCAAAACTTTTGGAGTACAGATATCCATAATCGATTTTACGCTTTCAAGAATCAACACAGGTGAGTTTCTGGTTACCAATACTGTGATATAATGTAAACCATGAGGTCCTATGTAATGCTTAACTACCAGTTTCCACGTCGCTAATGTGACCAGGTGAAAAGATACTGTTTCTGGACCTTACTGCTGATCCATACCTCTTCAAAGGACCAAAAGGAGATAAACAGGTAAGGCATTTAATGAAGCTTTCAGTTTTTTTCAAGAGCTATGAAAATTGTATATTTATTTGAGCTTTTATAATGTCATATTGCAGTCGGAAACGTACAGAAAGATGAAGACAGTTACTAAAGATAGCTGGGAAGGACAGTAAGTGTAAACTCTCCCAAGCCAAATTGAAGTGTGCTTTAAATGATTTGCTAATGTTTCTATTTGCCATGTTTGTTTCTTATTCTTTCTACCAACAGCTTTGCTCGAACAAACGTTCTCTGGTTAATCTATCTCGTGGATCTCTTATTGACCAAGAAGTCATTCGTAAGTTTGCAGGACATATAGCTGGTTGTTCTGTCTCAACTTAGAAAAACTTATTGATACTGCTTTCTATTTTTGCGTGTATGTTTCAGGACCGGTCTTCGAAAGATGAAAGAGAATTGAGGTCACTGAAGAAGCGTATGGAGAAGTATAAATCAGCTAAAGAGGCTCTTTCAGATCCTTTCTTCTCAGACATGTTGATGGACCAAATATCTTAAAGAGTGTAACAAAACCCACAAGTGAGTAACCAGAATCTCACTCTCCTTCTCTTTCTTGTAAGTCTTGGCCTAACCTCTAAAATCAACAGTGTATTAGCTTTTATTTAATGATCTTCCCTCTGAAGTTGTTTATCAAAAGATCTATTACCAATCAAAAGATCTATTACCAATCTATTATCAAAAGATCTAATACCAATCTTGATTTTCATCTCTTCAAATGAATACAAGAGCTAATGTTTAAACTTTTGTATGTGACAACAGTTTAATGGTAGCTTTTGTCTGTGACACATGCTTTTGATTCCATGCAGTCTTTTTTGAAGAAAGTATCAAGATCTAACATTCCACATGGGTTGTCCCTACTTGCATGAATAGATCTTCTTATCTAAAGATTAAAGAACAATAATCAAACGTGTAGAGGATAAATGAGAAATTTGCTTTAGAATTAGTACAATAAACTAATCCATGAAAACAGCTAACAGAGCTTTACCTTCTCTGCTTTTCTCAGTCACTTTCTGCTTTGAAGGTTTCTTTTAAATCTTTGAGGGTTTGCTGAGCTAAGCAGAGATCAACCATTGGGTTAATTAATTTCATGATCTTAATCTCTTCCTTTTTCTCCTTTTTGGATAAGAGAAAAATATAATATTATACCAATTTGCAGCTTCTTTCTTGAAAACTTTGCAGAACTTTATGCATATGCTTATGTCTGACAAAAATGGGTTTTTCTTTCTTTGGCAAAAGCTTTTATCTTTGTACAAAATAATATATACAGAAAATAAAAAGAAAACAGACGAGATTAGTCACTGGCCAAATCCAAAAGACTTCATAGCAAAGCAAACATCTTTTTCTCTTTACTTTTTTTTCTTACTTAGTCACTTGCATGTTAAGTACAGTCAGCTTCATCCCTCTTTTTCTCCCCTAATTTTCTCATGAAGAATCTCAAAGCTTTTATACTCCTTATAACCCAAGAAAGAAGAGAGGAAAACACAAACAATCTCAAGCTCTGATGGCGGCAAAACAGAGTTACTTCATCTTGTTTCTTTCTCTTGTCCCACTCTGTTCCTCAACAACTCATGATGTCATAAACCCACCAACAGTCTTCCCTACAAACCCAACAACAACACCTCCGGCTACTACATTCCCTCCGGTGACCATAAACCCCACAAATCCAGCTCCAACACTTCCTCTTAACCCTCCAGTGACAGTAGTCCCTCCTACACTCACGCCCCCTGTGACCAACCCAGTGACTCAGTATCCTCCAGCACAACCATCAGGGACGGTTCCTGTGATTCCACCTCCTGTTGTCTCAAACTCTCCATCGGTTTCAGGACAAAGCTGGTGCGTAGCAAAACCTGGAGCCTCTCAAACCTCACTCCAATTGGCTCTTGACTATGCATGTGGAAGCGGTAAATCGGATTGTTCTCAGATACAGCAAGGAGGCAGCTGTTATTCACCTATCAGTCTTCAGAATCATGCCTCATTTGCTTTTAACAGCTATTACCAGAAGAATCCTTCTCCACAAAGCTGTGATTTTGGTGGTGTAGCCTCAGTTGTTAGCACCAATCCAAGTAAGTGAAAAAAAAAACAGAGCATATATACTCTGCGTTGCAGATTCACTTTGCTTGTACTGTGTTTTGAATTGTTTGTTACAAAACAGGTACTGGTTCTTGCGTTTACCAGACAGGTTCTAGTTCTGGCTCATCTACATCAACTCCAGTAGGAGCAACAACGACAACACCAACTCCATCAACACAAACAGTTAACCAGCCTCCTGTCACATCAACACCTATAACACCAACAGGAGGCGTGACAATCGGGTAACTAAAAACATTCTTTCAACTCTTTTACTTTTGTCTCAAACCCTCTTTAGAGTTTCCTAACTGAAAATGTAACTCTTTATCTATATATTCAAGGGTTGGAACTCCACCAGCGGTTTTTAACCCGGCGAGTCCTTCATCAAACACTCTACCAAATCCATCCGCAGGAGGTTCAGCGGTTTATGGTTTTGATGGTTCACCTAATGGGAACAATCCAACACTATCAGACTCTACCAACTTGCAGATTCGCTTTGGTCACACTATGGTGGCAACATTGATTCTTCATGCAGTGCTATTTCATTAGAAATAGAATATATAGGTGTTGAATTAGTTTTATGACATAGCTATGCAAAGCTTCATTTAGAGTATCGTACCAAGAAGCTAGGAATGTAAGACATTATAAATTTGGTTTGGTTCAACGCTCATATGTTGTAGGATACGGTCTTATCTACTTTAATATGATCTAATATTATTTCTTTGTTACTTCAACGCCTAAAAAAGGCAACTAATATGAGCATTGAGATGGAGACAGCTTCATGCTGTCTTTTTGCAGTCAATTTCTTCTTGAGTTCTTGTATTGCCACATCGTTTCGCTGCCCCTTACTATCCCGCATAAAACAGCTCCATTGGTAACATATGCATGCCAAATTACTATGTCATGTCAAAGCAAGTGAAACTTAACTTTTGAAGTTTTTGAGCTTGGATGCGTGTTTCGTGGGCAAAACTCTAACCTCAGCACCTTCTTCTTGAGATCCTGATCAATTCTCCTTTGATTCTCCACCTGGTCCAGAATAACAAATGCTTTACTGCACAAAACCATTATAAAAAAAAAACACAAAAACAAGAGAAGCTATTAGCATGTGTTGTTACCTGATCGTCTAATTCCTTTGTCTTAAACCTCCAGTGAGCCGTTATAATCTTTAGCTCATCTCTCAGTCTTGCTATCTCGTCTTCTTTAGACGTCAAAAGTTTGTTGATTCTTTCAAAATTCATTGGTGAATCTTCATCTATCACTTTCCAGCTGACCACTGATACATCACCCATAATGTCAGCTTCAACTTTTAAAACCTCATCTCTTAGGTACTTCTGTGAAGATTCTCTAGCTTGCATCTCCTTTTTCAGATTCTCTAGCTTCTCACCAAGTCGAGTTACTTGATCCTCATGCTCCTTCAAGGAACCAGTCTTTTCATGAAAATGTTCTCATCATGACTATATTGTATTGTTTCAGCCATCTCTTCTGGATCAAATTCTTTGGTAGCTCGTATAAGCTATGTGTTCAGAACGTGAAGAGCTTGAAAGTTCACTGCTATAGAACCAAGCCCTTAGAGACACTATTCATTGGCATACGTGTATCACACCCATTTCTATTGATCAATGCACTAAGAATCATGTGTTCATAACCACGAATTAAATCACAACACTCTGGACTACAAATGATCCCAATCCATCACCAGATTATAGGCTTTTGTCAGACACACACAGATACATCGGAGAAATAACTTAGTTAGGATTCAATCAAACACTTGACAGTTCAAAACATTCCTGAACATAGTAAACGAACCAGCAAGAAACTGAAAATAAATAAATAAATAAAATAAATGAGATCACCTCTCACTACACTATTCTTCCTGCTTAACTTTCACTACTTGGTCCTGTTTCTTGACTTGGCCCGAGCTCTCTACCACTTCCAAAGCACCATTCAATGCAAGACTGTTTCGGTTTCTGATCTTGATCACCGGAGACCTCAAAGGAAGCTTCTTTAACCTTCTCAAAATCCGACATCGCCTTCTCATAGAGCTTAACGAAACACTCAAGAGTCTCTTGAGCCTCACGCGATCTCTTCTTCGCCACGTCACACTCTTTCCCCTCCCGTTCAACTTCTTTTTTAGCGTAGTAGACAGCCTTGCTCATAGAAAAAGAAGCGATCTTGCATGCACATAAGAAAGCCTCGGAGAGAGACTTATCCAAGAATCTAACACCGTTTGTGTCGATGGTTGGACGGAAGAAGGAGAAGGAGATAGGGTTCAGGCAAGGAGGACACAAGTAAAGAGTGGAGGAGGTTGCGTCGTCTCCGGCGCATTGGATGTGAGTGTAGGAGCAGCAGCGGGAACAAGAGACGCGGAGAGACTGATGCGGAGGAGAAGAGTCGTAGAAGGTTAAGCAGGTGGGGCAAAACGACGCCGGATGGCTGCGGAGGAGGCAATGCGTGCAGAAGAAGCGAAGGGCGCCGCGGAGACGTGTTGGGTGTATGACCCATGAATCTTTGCTGCGGCAATAGTCGCATATCTTGGTGAAACTCTCCGATGAATCAGCCGTCTCCGAAGACGGCGTTGACGACGGAAGGTGCATAGGGTTTGTCAGCGATTTGGGAAGGGTTTAGGTTTAGGGTTTACACAAAAGGTTTTTGAGTGTTGACGACGGAGAATAGTTTAAATTGATTAAGTTAAGACGTTGTAAATGGGCTTAATATGTTGGGCCGTCTTATTTTTTATATCGTGGGCCTATAATTCTAATTTACAAGAGAAAACAAAATCCACGATAAGCCCAAAAAATCCACTAAACACTCTTAGACGTGTATGTTAAAATGAATATAAAGGAGCTTTCTCACCTATGACCTGTCTTGATCTTGTTTAAAGCTCGACGCAATCTCGAGTTCAGTGCGACTAATCGAGACTATAGCTTACACCTCACGAACATATTTTCACCAAAAACTTAGAAACTGAGAAAGGTGGTCTTGTGCAATAAGGGTTACATAAAAAGAGTTTTGACTTTTATTAGTTTCCGATTGCTATCTTCTAGTTCTAATGGAGGTGGATTAGGACAGCTCTAACTAATTACGATGACCAATGAGTTACAGCAAGCAATAAGAAACGGACACGTGGAGCATATAGGGAGACAAATGAAGTAAAAGAGGATTACCCCCTTAACTGAAACTTGAAAGAGAAGGAAATGGTGTTAATGTCGCAACGCAAAAGAAAAGTTAGACATCATTTTGCTTTTGGCAACACTAATATATCAAGATTATCTATGATTATGTCTTCTCTCATGTCTTACCAATTAGATTGGGCCATATAAATAAGTGACATCAACCATACAATCTCTCGTTTAATCAAACTTGAAATGTTGTTTGCCTTGTTTTCTAAGTTTGATCTTTTTCTCCACCACAAATCACAAACACACAAATCAAATGATGATTTTGTGAAAAGCAGATGAGGCAAGCAACTAATAAATATATAGTACAACATTACACAAGCACACGGGTTACAATCTTTGTTTGCCGTATATATCATTCATGAAGTTAACTAGAATATGAATTCATTAAATCCTCAAAGATGCTAATTGGAAAAGCTGATGGATGGCAAGCTAAATCAAGAGTAATTAACAACGTGACCTGAAGTCGAAGTCTTGAATAATGACGCATAAATATATTTATTAATATGAGGCATTACTTTTGAAAATTAATGAAATAGGGATTTAGGATAAACTTTTAACAAATTAATCAAACATATTATATCAAAAGGGTCCTTCGCATAAGTGCATGCATGTGCTAATGTTTCCTTGATGAAAGGATTAATGCTAAATGGGCCAATTAAGATGGTATATAATGAAGGTCACTTCTCACTGGGACCCCTTTCTCTTTCTTTCTCTGTGATTTCATCCTCTTAATCTAAAATGTTATCAACTTTCTAATAAGTCACTTTCTCCATGTCTAATTGATAATTTCTTACTAGAAAATATATTGACAAATCTTCCATCAACATCGTTGATTCGTTGTAGAATTTGATTATATATTGTGCACTTTCACAAACTTTTATTGGATGCATATTTTCATTAGTCATTACGAAATATGATTGGTGGTTACATATTAGCTGATGGTTAATCTTTTAGACTTTTGTCTAAATCTTCTAATTATGGAAAACTATATAAAGTACACAATAAACTACATATACATTGATCATTGATGTATCATGTATGAATATTAATATTAATTAGGTTTTGCTATAGCCAATTAGCCATGTCAGGTCCCTAATTTCTTTTACAAAATACTTACCATTATTTTTTATTGAATTTACTTTCATAGTTTTGTTTCTACTTTCATATTGATAGTTAACAATGGCTCTGAGAGATCAAATTTGTTTTCCAAAAAATTATTAAAATTGTGGGGAAAAAAATAATTTTAGATGACGATACAATTGTTTTCATTTCTGGCCTTCTTATTTATTTGTATCCACTTTTATGTTAAGATAACAACTTTCTACTTAAATAATGTTTGATCAAGAGAATCCATAAGCTAAAACTGCATTAGTAGTGCAATGTAGATTACAATTTTTTCTGTACATGTCATTGCTTTCTTATAAAGCATTAGTTAATTAGTTTAATTTTGGTTGCAAAGTTCCAAAGTACATTGAAACTAAAAGTACCAGCGAATTATCTATGAATCATCTATGATTGTTTGTTAAATTTTCATACAAGTTTTGGAATCCTAATAAACGTGTAAAGTTTAGAACCTCTTCTTCTTTTTATTTTAATTTGTCACCTAAGATTTTATAATCTGCATGAGTTGTGACAATGAAAAATTAACGAATGACATACGTGTAAGTATATCCTTTTTAATTCTCTATTTCTAGAGGATAGTTAGCTTTTTAACAATTAAAAATACAGCAGTACAAATGTTCTCATATGTGTGTTTTTGTTTAAGTTGTATATATGATTTATACATTTCTAAACTTCAAATTTAAACAAAAATGTAAAACTTCTATTCTAGTGCATGAAGATCAACGATGCAAACTATTCGATCATTCACCGCCAAAACAAGGGTTCGCAAAATGAGAAACAAGAATTGGTTCTGTATTATATTTTATGTTTGTGTATGCATTTACATCGCTACTAGTTATACACTATTAAATTTACCTGTGTGTCAGTATAAATTAAATATTTATTATATTATATAAGAAATTCAGCTCTATGATATTTAATTATGATGGGATATAAATTATAAGGATCTGTGATCATCATGAGATTAAAAATTACTGAAATTTGGTCTCAGATTGAATTGTATGTACTGTCATAACTTAAACACGTATTTTTTTTGTCATCCATAACTAAAACATGTATAAACTTTAGAAAATCACTGAAATATTGAAGAGAGAAAAAAAAACATCTAAGAGGTAAACGACATCTTCTTGCTGAGATTAGACTGAAAAGCTGGAAACAACGAAAAAAGATGCATGCTCCTAATCAAATCAAAATTAACGCCTAAATAATCTGAATTTTGATATGGTTTACATATAATGCAAGGGCTGCGGCGGATACATATACATGATTGTCTTATAATCATGGTCCATGATGATCAAATGATGGGTCTCAATAATGCATAATCCTAATCGAATATGTTCCATTTTTTTAGGGGATACTAATATTATATCGTGAAGCTATAACATAATGTTTTCTTTTCCATGATATACTCCAAGAACGTGTTGATTGGCATTAGTTTATTGAGTATGATTAAAAAGAAACTCGCTGCAATTGCAAAGTCTTTCCATATATTATATGCGTTTCTTGTAATTAATCATTTGGTGAATTGTTTAATTCGAAGTATCTTCTGACAGCTTTGCTTCGAGATATTCTACAATAAAACCAGGAGTTCATTTGTTTTATTGTGTTTGATTATGAGACATTCATGTCGGTTTTGCTTATTTCTATGAGAAGGGATTATTATGATCGAGTCTTCTTTTTAAGCTCATGCATGAACAATGGCACTCAACAATATATTCTCTCGTTTAAGGCTTCATAATATGTGGATATAACAAATAATTCTTGTTACAAAAGAAAAACAAATAATTCCATTAGTTTATTTCTAACTAAGCTAACAATTTTAACTTCATGACGTTAAAGATGTCATAATACATTATACATGTATACTTTTTGTCCACGATTTATCTAAGATTGGGTCCCAATAAACAAATGGATAAAAGGTAAGAGTGTAACGAGTGGCCGTCTCTAGATAACGTAAGAAAACTACAAGAATTCAACATGTGAATATTTGAGGGAAAGTTTGGGTTGAATGTACAAAGAATATACCCTCTCTATTATGACTCGTTTTAAGGCAA